ATAGGAGCCTTTGAACCAAGTGAGAGAGTAATTGGTTGGTAGGGGACCTGAATGCTAAAGTAGGAGAAACTTTTAGAGAGGGTTGTGGTAGGAAAGTTTGGGGTGCCGGGTGTAAATGATAATGGGAGCCCTTTGATTGAACTTTGTATAAAAAGGGGGGTTTAGTTATAGGTAATACATATTTTAAGAAAAAGAGGATAAATAAGTATACAAGATATGATGTAGGGCGAAAGGGACAGTAGTTTGTTGGATTATGTATTGGTAGATAAAAGACTGTTGAGTAGACTTCAGGATGTACAGTTATAGAGGGGCCACAGATATATCAGATCACTTTCTAGTTGTAGCTACACGGGAGTAAAAGGTAGATGGGAAATACAAGGAGAATAAAGCATCAGGGAAGAGAGAGGTGAAGGTTTAAAACTAAAAGAGGAGGCAGTTAGGTAAGATATAAACAGTATTGGGAGGATAGATGGGCTAATGAGAGCATAGGCAATGGGTCGAAGAGGTATGGGGTAGGTTTAAAAATGTAGTGCAAGATTTGTTCAGCAGAAGTTTGTGGTTACAGGAAAGTGGGTGCGGGAGGGAAGAGGAGCGATTGGTGGAATGATGATGTAAAGAGAGTAGTAAGGGAAAAAGTTAGCATATGAGAAGTTTTTACAAAGTAGAAGTAAATGCAAGGAGGGAAAGAGTATATGGAGAAAAAGAGAGAGGTTAAGAGAGTGGTGAAGCAATGTAAAAAGAGAGCAAATGAGAGAGTGGGTGAGATGTTTATCAACAAATTTTGTTGAAAATAAGAAAAAGTTTTGGAGTGAGATTAACAAGTTAAGAAAGCCTAGAGAACAAATGGATTTGTCAGTTAAAAATAGGAGAGGGGAGTTATTAAATGGAGAGTTAGAGGTATTGGGAAGATGGAGGGAATATTTTGAGGAATTGTTAAATGTTGATGAAATAGGGAAGCTGTTGATTTCGTGTATAGGGCAAGGGGGAATAACATCTTGTAGGAGTGAGGAAGAGCCAGTTGTGAGTTGGGGGGAAGTTTGAGGCAGTAGGTAAAATGAAAGGGGGTAAGGCAGCCGGGGATTGATGGGATAAAGATAGAAATGTTAAAAGCAGGTGGGGATAAAGTTTTGGAGTGGTTGGTGCAATTATTTAATAAATGTATGGAAGAGGGTAAGGTACCTAGGGATTGGCAGAGAGCATGCATAGTTCCTTTGTTTTAAAGGCAAAGGGGATAAAAGAGAGTGCAAAAATTATAGGGGGATAAAATCTGCTGGTATACCTGGTAAAGTGTATGGTAGAGTTATTATTGAAAAAATAAGAGTAAGACGGAGAATTTGGATAGCAGATGAACAAGGAGGCTTTTAGGAAAGGTAGGGGGTGTGTGGACCAGGTGTTTACAGTGAAACATATAAGTGAACGTATTTAGATAAGGCTAAAGAGGTCTTTGTGGCATTTATGGATTTGGAAAAGGCGTATGACAGGGTGGATAGGGGGGCAATGTGGCAGATGTTGCAAGTGTATGGTGTAGGAGGTAGGTACTGAAAGCAGTGAAGAGTTTTTACGAGGATAGTGAGGCTCAAGTTAGAGTATGTAGGAAAGAGGGAAATTATTTCCCAGTTAAAGTAGGCCTTAGACAAGGATGTGTGATGTCACCGTGGTTGTTTAATATATTTATAGATGGGGTTGTAAGAGAAGTAAATGCGAGGGTCTTGACAAGAGGCGTGGAGTTAAAAGATAAAGAATCACACACAAAGTGGGAGTTGTCACAGTGCTCTTTGCTGATGACACTGTGCTCTTGGGAGATTCTGAAGAGAAGTTGCAGAGATTGGTGGATGAATTTGGTAGGGTGTGCAAAAGAAGAAAATTAAAGGTGAATACAGGAAAGAGTAAGGTTATGAGGATAACAAAAAGATTAGGTGATGAAAGATTGATATCAGATTGGAGGGAGAGAGTATGGAGGAGGTGAATGTATTCAGATATTTGGGAGTGGACGTGTCAGCGGATGGGTCTATGAAAGATGAGGTGAATCATAGAATTGATGAGGGAAAAAGAGTGAGTGGTTGCACTTAGGAGTCTGTGGAGACAAAGAAGTTTGTCCTTGGAGGCAAAGAGGGGAATGTATGAGAGTATAGTTTTACCAACGCTCTTATATGGGTGTGAAGCGTGGGTGATGAATGTTGCAGCGAGGAGAAGGCTGGAGGCAGTGGAGATGTCATGTCTGGAGGGCAATGTGTGGTGTGAATATAATGCAGAGAATTCGTAGTTTGGAAGTTAGGAGGAGGTGCGGGATTACCAAAACTGTTGTCCAGAGGGCTGAGGAAGGGTTGTTGAGGTGGTTCGGACATGTAGAGAGAATGGAGCGAAACAGAATGACTTCAAGAGTGTATCAGTCTGTAGTGGAAGGAAGGCGGGGTAGGGGTCGGCCTAGGAAGGGGTTTGGGGGAGGGGGGTAAAGGAGGTTTTGTGTGCGAGGGGCTTGGACTTCCAGCAGGTATGCATGAGCGTGTTTGATAGGAGTGAATGGAGACAAATGGTTTTTAATACTTGATGTGCTGTTGGAGTGTGAGCAAAGTAACATTTATGAAGGGGTTCAGGGAAACCGGCAGGCCGGACTTGAGTCCTGGAGATGGGAAGTACAGTGCCTGCACTCTGAAGGAGGGGTGTTAATGTTGCAGTTTAAAAACTGTAGTGTAAAGCACCCTTCTGGCAAGACAGTGATGGAGTGAATGATGGTGAAAGTTTTTCTTTTTCGGGCCACCTGCCTTGGTGGGAATCGGCCAGTGTGATAATAAAAATAATAACATTTCCTTCTGAGTATGCCCTTCCTTGCTGGGACACCAATCATTGAGAACTCAACACCACAGTACACAGAAAGAGGAAAAAAGTAAAATCTCTCTTCAGATGATTTTGCCAGATTTCAAACAAAAAAGTTGGCCAGACAACATTGAAGTATCAGTACTCACAAATTTTTCAGATTTCACACAATGATAGTGTATTTTGGTTCCTTCAAAATATCGAAAGTCCAATGATTGACATTTGTTCGTTTTCTGGCCAGAGCAGCACATAAGGACTGTGTTTTCATCGTTCCCTTAGCCAAGGCCACCCATGCCAAATTGTTTTGTGTCGCTCACATACCTAGTCTTTCAGTCTAATTTTTCCTGGGGGGAATTATACAGATTTTGTGTGACTTTATTAGCATATAAGTAAGATGTAATTAAAAATGGTGTGCCAAACGAAATGTGTTAGTTCTCATGTTAACCTTAAACTGCCATACACTGATCAACGTGCAAGTAATACTGCACACACACACACCAGATCAACATTTAAAATCCTGCTCCTTAAAATGCACCTATCGGAGAATGATGCACCTAATATGGATAATGGAGGCCCTGCGTAGCTGGTGGCACGACAAAAAAATTCTCACCACACCGTGGTATGGTGTTTCAAAGTACATCCAACATGTCTCGTCTTTGACATCCCTTCCACCCATGGACCAAAAAAAAACTGCCATTGCTATTGCCCAGGCTGGTTCTAGTACTGAACACAGAGATGAGGATGGAGTTGTATGAACATGAACACAGTAATGCTACCACTACAGATGCCCCATCAAACAAAGAAAATCCTGATGAGCTTTGAAGGATTACATAACACAACTTCCTTCCACTGAGAAGAAATATGCCCAGAAGATGTGTTATGCATGCTCTACCACCACAAGAAAATCAAGAAAATGCTTTGAGGATTTTCATGTACCCAAGCAACTGTAATTGGCAAAGTGAACAGTGAGCGTATAGTGTGTGTGTGTAAAGGGAATGTATACCATGTGTAGTGCATATAATATATGATTAAAGTATAAACAAAAAAATAAAAAAAGGCACCAAGTGAACAATTTCAGTAAAATTTTTGTTCAAGTAAGAAATAATTGGTTGTTGAACAAATTGAAAAAAAACAAGGCCAAACATGCCAACAGTATGCAACAGCAAGCATGCTGGATGCAAATGTTACCATATAAGGGTCACTTCCAGAAACTTCGAACTATTTCCTGGTATATTTTAACACAATTTTCAATTTTATTTAAAAAAGTAAAATCGAGGCAGACTTTTTAGTAAAAAAAAAAAAAAATATTTTGGCACTACAATACAATTTCATTTTACCCCTATTGGCAACTTATGGGTTAAACAGAAAATTGAACTAATAAAGAAGGCTGAGTCTGGCATCTCAGTAGCATGGGTATGTGAATGTGTTAAGAAAGTGTCTGATATCCTTAGAAGCAAGGACAAACCTACAGACTATGTTTCTAAGTTTAGTGTAGATCCAAGTGGAGTTTTACAGTTCCTCTCACTCAGATTAAAAGTTATTCTGAGTTGTACTATTAATTGTGGCAATTTACACCTGATCTCTCCACCACAAAAAAAGGCAGGTCAGGTTATTGTAAATTATGTACAGTACTATCAAATTACTGTATTGTAGTACTATGGGTTACAATACTCATTCTTACATTCTTAGTGTTCCATTGTCTTCTGCCTCAGGAGAAGACAACTGGATGATCATAAAAAAAAATTTCATAATTCCGAAGTTTCGGACAATCAGCAATATCGCACATCCCCTCCCCAATAATCTGCTAAAGAGAAGGTTCACTGTAATAGCAATGTTCAACCCACCACAAGTAACTTTAATCAGCTCACACTTCTTACATCTTATGGCAAGGAAATGCTATACTGGGAATAAATATGCAAGCAGAAGAATATGGTATGTCATCTAACCTATACCAGTGGTATTAATGACAAACTAAAAAAGTCATACAGCATTATACCAGAAACATCTAGAATTTGCCACTCTTTACCCAATAAAGCCGCTTTCCCAATAAATACTTTCCTAACTCTACCAGAGACTGATGGGAATTTTCACAGAAAAACCTGTCACTGCAAAAGCTGATAAATATCCAGGAACACTTTACAATATTAATAAAAAATTTTGCCCAATACAAAGAGAACAGAGCAAACCTTAATTCTCTTCCTTGCTCACTGAGGATCTCACGGACAACACGAGAAAAGGGCAATTTGGGCACCAAGAGCTCTGTTCTCTTCTGATAATGGCGAATTTCCTGCAAGGCAACTGTTCCAGGTCGGAATCTGTGCTTTCTCTTCTTTTCATCTGGGCTCTTTGAGCTTTTACCCTGAAAATTAAATTACAAATCAATCATTGTCAACGCATACTTTCTCTAAATGAGTATTCTAAGGTCTCATGTCATGCAACATAAATGCTAGAACATTATAAATGATATGACACTCTTGGTATCACCATATAAAATTGTAAATATTATGAATGCAGGAATTACAGTGGAGGGAAGGCAGGGCAGAAGTTATCCTAGGAAAAGATAGAGGGAGGGAGGGAGGGAGGAGGTAAAAAAAAAAAAATGTATGCAAGGGGCTTGGTCATCCAGCAGGGTGTGTGTGTGTGTGTGTGTGTGTGTGTGTGTGTGTGTGTGTGTGTGTGTGTGTACTCACCTATTTGTGGTTGCAGGGGTCGAGTCTTAGCTCCTGGCCCCGCCTCTTCACAGGTTGCTACTGGGCCCTCTCTCTTCCCGCTCCATAAGCTTTATCAAACCTAGTCTTAAAACTGTATGGTTCCTGCCTCCACTACGTCATTTTCTAGGCTATTCCACTGCCTTACAACTCTATGACTGAAGAAATACTTCCTAATATCTCTCTGACTCATTTGTGTCTTCAACTTCCAATTGTTGCCTTTTGTTTCTGTGTCCCCTCCCTGGAACATCCTGTCTTTGTCCACCTTGTCTATTCCACACAGTATTTTATATGTCGGTATCATGTCTCCCCTGACCCTCCTGTCCTCCAGTGTCGTCAGGCCGATTTCCCTTAATCTTTCTTCATAGGACATTCCCCTTAGCTCTGGAACTAACCTTGTCGCAAACCTTTGTACTTTCTCTAGTTTCTTGACGTGCTTTATCAAGCGCGGGTTCCAAACAGGTGCTGCATACTCCAGTATGGGCCTGACATACACGGTGTACAGTGTCTTGAACGATTCCTTACTAAGGTATCGGAATGCTGTTCTCAGGTTTGCCAGGCGCCCATATGCTGCAGCAGTTATCTGATTGATGTGTGCTTCCGGAGACATGTTCAGTGTTATACTCACCCCAAGATCTTTCTCCTTGAGTGAGGTTTGCAGTCTTTGGCCACCTAGCCTATACTCTGTCTGTGGTCTTCTGTGCCCTTCCCCTATCTTCATGACTTTGCATTTGGCAGGATTAAATTCGAGAAGCCATTTGCTGGACCAGGTATCCAGTCTGTCCAGGTCTCTTTGAAGTCCTGCCTGGTCCTCATCAGATTTAATTCTCCTCATTAACTTCACATCATCTGCAAACAGGGACACTTCTGAGTCTAACCCTTCCATCATGTCGTTCACATATACCAAAAATAGCACTGGTCCTAGGACCAACCCCTGTGGGACCCCGCTCGTCACAGGTGCCCACTGTGATACATCATTACGTACCATGACTCGTTGTTGCCTCCCTGTCAGGTATTCTCTGATCCATTGCAGTGCCCTTCCTGTTATATGCGCCTGATGCTCTAGCTTCTGCACTAATCTCTTGTAAGGAACTGTGTCAAAGGCCTTCTTGCAGTCCAAGAAGATGCAATCAACCCACCCCTCTCTCTCGTGTCTTACTTCTGTTATTTTATCATAAAACTCCAGAAGGTTTGTGACACAGGATTTGCCTTCCATGAATCCGTGCTGGTTGGCATTTATACTCTTGTTCCGTTCCAGGTGCTCCACCACTCTCCTCCTGATAATCTTCTCCATAACTTTGCATACTATACACGTCAATGACACAGGTCTATAGTTTAGTGCCTCTTTTCTGTCTCCTTTTTTAAAAATGGGAACTACATTTGCCGTCTTCCATACCTCAGGTAGTTGCCCAGTTTCCAGGGACGTGTTGAAGATTGTGGTAAGTGGCACACACAACATATCTGCTCCCTCTCTAAGGACCCACGGGGAGATGTTGTCCGGTCCTATTGCCTTTGAGGTATCGATGTCCCTTAGCAGTTTCTTCACCTCCTCCTCATCTGTATGTATGTCGTCCAACACTTGTTGGTGTATTCCTTGCTGGTGTCCCCATCTGATCTGTCCCCCCAGAGTCCTTCCTGTCTCTACTGTAAATACTTCCTTAAATCTCGTGTTGACCTCCTCACATACCTCTTGATCGTTTTTGTGAGTTCTCCACCTTCTTTCCTCAGCCTTATCACCTGGTCCTTGACTGTTGTCCTCCTCCTAATGTGGCTATACAGCAGTTTCGGGTCAGATTTGACTTTCGATGCTATGTCGTTTTCATACTGTTGCTGGGCCTCCCTCCTTATCTGTGCATACTCGTTTCTGGCTCTTCTACTGATCTCCTTGTTTTCCTGGGTCCTATGCCTCCTGTACCTTCTCCATTCTCTGTTGCACTTAGTTTTTTGCCTCCCTACACCTTCGGGTAAACCAAGGACTCGTTTGGTCTTCCTATTATTTCTGTTTCCCTTGGGAACAAACCTTTCCTCTGCCTCCTTGCACTTTGTTGCCACGTATTCCATCATCTCGTTTACTAATTTTCCTACCATTTCTCTGTCCCACTGAACCTCCTGCAGGAAGTTTCTCATACCTGTGTAGTCCCCCCTTTTATAGTTTGGCCTGTCCCCTTCAGTTCCTGTTACCTTCTCCACTTGTAACTCTACTATATAATCAAAACTCAGAACCACGTGATCGCTAGCTCCAAGGGGCCTCTCGTAAGTGATGTCCTCAATGTCCGAACTGCTCAGTGTGAACACAAGATCCAGTCTTGCTGGCTCATCCTCCCCTCTCTCTCTGGTTGTGTCCCTGACATGTTGATGCATGAGGTTTTCAAGTACCACATCCATCATCTTGGCTCTCCATGTTTTGGGACCCCCATGTGGCTCCAGGTTTTCCCAGTCAATCTCCCTGTGGTTGAAATCGCCCATTACCAGTAACTTTGCTCTGCTCGAGTGAGCTCTTCTTGCCACCTCAGCCAGTGTGTCCACCATCACCCTGTTGTTTTCTTCGTACTCCTCTCTTGGCCTCCTGCAGTTCTGTGGTGGGTTATACATCACTCCAATGACTACTTTATGTTCTCCGGACTGAATTGTACCTACAATGTAGTCTCTTTCTCCAATCATGTCCATGCCTTCCATTTCCTCAAATCCCCATCGGTGTTTTATGAGCAGTGCAACCCTCCTCCCCCCTATTCCTTCTATCTTTCCTCAGGATCTGATATCCTGTTGGGAAGATTGTGTCTGTTATTGTCTCAGCAAGTTTTGTTTCTGTGACTGCTATGATGTCTGGGGATTCTTCACTGATTCTTTCATTCCACTCCTCATGTTTATTCGTTATTCCATCCGCGTTTGTGTACCAAACTTTCAGTTTCTTTTCTATCATTGTGGTCATGCAAGAATATTGGGGTTGGGGGAGCGAGAGCCTTGGTGGGGGCCTATATGGGGCTGTGATGTAGGTGGGGTTTGTGATGATGGGGGTGGGGTCAGAATGCCCATAAGGGACAGCTGTTGGGGTGAGGTTTGTGATATGGGGGTTGGTGGCAGAGGGAACAGTGAATAATACTTTTTGTAACTCCACACCTCCTAATTTCCACACTATGAATTCTTTGCACAATATTTACACCACACATTGCTCTTAGACACGACATGTCTACTGCCTCCAGCATCCTCCTCGCTGTAGCATTCACAACCCATGCTTCACACCCACGTAAGTGTTGGTACCACTACACTCTCATACATTCTCTTCTTTGCCTCCATGGATAACATCTTTTTTTGTCACCACAAACACCTCGATGCACCACTCCCCTCTCGTACATACCCTAACTTGAGGCTCACTATCCTCATAAAAACTCTTTACAGCATTTATTAACTTACTACCTATTCCATACACTTTTAACATCTGCTTCATCTAAATACTGTTCACTTATATGCTTCAATGTAAACACTATCTACGCATCCCCTACTCATTCTAAAGCCTTCTAGTTCATCTGCAATCCTGCTCTGTCTTACCTCTAATAGGCTTTACCTGGTACACTCAAGAAACTTATTCTCCTATGTTTTTTACAGTCTCTCTTGTTCTCCTTTCCCCTTATACAGTACAGTAGGCCCCTGCTTTACAGCGTTTTGTTTTACCTGGAGTTTACCTGGAGAGAGTTCCAGGGGTCAACGCCCCCACGGCCCAGTCTGTGACCAGGCCTCCTGGTGGATCAGAGCCTGATCAACCAGGCTGTTGCTGCTGGCTGCACGCAAACCAACGTACGAGCCACAGCCCGGCTGGTCAGGAACCGACTTTAGGTGCTTGTCCAGTGCCAGCTTGAAGACTGCCAGGGGTCTGTTGGTAATCCCCCTTACGTAAGCTGGGAGGCAGTTGAACAGTCTCGGGCCCCTGACACATATTGTATGGTCTCTTAACGTGCTAGTGACACCCCTGCTTTTCATTGGAGGGATGTTGCATCGTCTGCCAAGTCTTTTGCTTTCGTAGCGAGTGATTTTCGTTTGCAAGTTCGGTACTAGTCCCTCTAGGATTTTCCAGGTGTATATTAATCATGTATCTCTCCCACCTGCGTTCCAGGGAATACAGGTTTAGGAACCTCAAGCGCTCCCAGTAATTGAGGTGTTTTATCTCTGTTATGCGCGCCGTGAAGGTTCTCTGTACATTTTCTAGGTCAGCAATTTCACCTGCCTTGAAAGGTGCTGTTAGTGTGCAGCAATATTCCAGCCTAGATAGAACAAGTGACGTGATTTAATCCACAGATTTATCTCATTTGGGCATACCCAAAAACACTTCCCTGTTTTAATACTGCTTGTAGATAGTTCTTGGATATCTGCACAAGGGGAATGACACTAATTTCCACAAAAATGACAATTTATCCATGTGGAAGCCCGTTTGTTTGATTGGCCGCAGACTACACAGAGCTTCATAATGATTTGAATGGTTGATTTACTGTAATTCTACTAGCAACCTCTTGAATATTCTATTAATAACCTCCTTAAATGAAGCTCTAGCTATTTGTATTTCCATTTCTAACTGTACTTGTATATTGGACAGCTTACCGTGTACGTTCCTGATTTATATTTATTGTTTGTCTTTGATAAGGGCGCCTACAACCCCATC